AAGGGGGTGCAAATTTATGCTAGTAGTTTTTATATGGGAAGATAGTGAATTTATTATTATTAGTGTTTATCAATATATCTAGAAAAGGAATTTTATTGTTGTTATAAAGTTTGTATGTAAATTTAAGGACAGAATTATTTTGGAATTGTTTTTGGAATTGATATATTTTATCCATATTTTTGACTAAGATAAGGATATCACCAACATATCTTAGTTAGATGGAGGGTTTTTTAAATTCATTAAATATATTATTTTTAAGACTAGACATAGAAATTAGTAAAAGTTGGGCCCAGAACTGAACCTGTCGAAACACCATCCTACTGTACATATATATTATTTTTGCGATTGTAGAATGGGACTTCAGTAGTGCAAGTTAACAGTAGTTGCTATAATATATTAAGTCTAATTTTAAATGGAGGTAGAGATGGATTATTGTATATTTTTCATATAATAATATCAATAGTTTTGCTAACTGGGACATCAGTAAATAAACGCCAAGTGAGGCTATCGTTTCATTATTAAGTTTTTCTTTTACTGGGAATGTATGGTGTGATAAGTTGGTTTATGATATTTGTTAATAAACAGGAATGGAAATTTGAAATACAATAGGACAGAGAAGATTGTTTGGTTTGTTTGAATTTATAATGCCATATATGTAACCTGGCCTATCCCCCCCTCCCCCCCGACTATTTTAGGAAGTTTTAAACTGTCAGGTTCAGCATTATCAGCTAAGTTTGTTAATTTTTAATTTCAGTTGCTTAGTAGGATTCCTGTTAATGACCCAATGAAATTTTAAAAATTAAGTATTTGTTCTAACTTAGTATTATAATCCGATTTGGTTAAAACAATAAAAAATGTTTGTCTACTTTTTTTTTTTAATGATTTGTAATTCCTTAGCAGCAATTTGTAATGGTTTTGTTAATATTCTTGAAAATTTTTTATTTTTGTCATGCCTCTCCTTGACCAATTCTCCAAATTCTGGTCTTCTTGTAATCAATTGTTCTTCCTCAAGTTTTTCAATATTTTGATATAATGTCTCAGTCTCAGTTTGTTTTTTTAGTTAGACCATTATACTTGTGGTAAATATGGCAGTTGGGTCCCAGGTTAAGCAATTCTCTTTGATGTTTAGTTAACTCATAGTTGGAAATATTAATAAATTTATACATCCAGATTTTTATTTTTTTTTTTAGAGCATTTTGTTTGATTTTTTTAAAAAGTTTTAACCAGTGTTGACATTCTGATTTATTGATAATTTCTGCAAGTCTATGTAGAATTTCTTTCAGTTGATCAGAAGTCGTCGTCATTGTATGTTGGGGTGATTGTAGATGTCTTGTTTACTACTATTAATTTGTCATTAGCTATTTTGATTTGCCTTTTCACAAAGCTACATTTAAAATTCAAGGTGTTAATATTCTCGTAAGCTGCTGGATCATTAAATTTAAAGTGTGTATATTTTAGCAGAATATTTTCATTAAGATATGTGTCTCATTAAATAATTCAGACAAGTTTGGTCTACTTATTCTTAATAAAATCCACTCATATTGACATCACTATGCATTTATGTTGACACCAAACAAAAATCTAAAAATCTTACAGTACAGAAGTCGCATGATTTTTTTTCACTTCACAAGTATAAAAAAAAAAAAAAAAAAAAAAAAAAAATTAATTTTCAGATGAACACAGCAATTTTGTTTTAGAAAAAAAACAAGACTGATGATGACATTGTGCTAATGTCAAAAGTACTCAGAATAAAATGAATATGCATCAACATGGTAACTCTTTCTTCCTTTAATAAGGATTCTAAGAAACTTGTTCATTAATATCCTATTAAGAATAAGTAGACAAAATCAGTCTAAATTATTTAATGAGATATAGAAATATTATATATATGTGTGTGTGTGTGTGTGTGTCAATAAAAGTAGAAACTGTTGCTAAAATGTTAGTTACAAAGATCAGTTGTGAATGACAGTTGCTTATCTAGTCCTCATCAACTATAGATATGAAGCACAGCCCATTTTTAATTACTTGTAAGAATCTTATCTCATTGAGCAAGTGCACTCCTGAGAAATTCTGAAAAATATTTCAATATATATCATCCAAAGCAGACAACAAATAGCAAATTGTTTTGCATGAAATAAACAACTGAGAAGTATATATTTCAATTACATCCCTTTGGAGTACTGAAAAGTTCTCAACCGGACTCATTTCATAATATCTCACCAAACATCAGTTTTTGTTTTTTTTTTTTTTTTTTTTTTTTTTGGGTGGGGTGATTGTGCAGCCATAACTTTTCAGTACCCTTTTATTAATTTGTTCATATTCATTTTATTTAATAGAAAAATCAAATCAAATGGAAACAAACTGGAGAGATAAGATCCTGTTGTACTAAATGGTGATGAAGGGGGAACTAGTTTTTTTTTTTTTTGAAACTTGGACTCTTAACAAATGTTAATGAAAAATGCACAACTACTTTAGCTATGAGGCTGATCAAAATGTCATGGTTTTCTAATGACAAAACAAAAATTTACACAAAAGTTATTTTGGTACAAATAACACTTCTCTTATAATACAAATAACATACAAAAAATTACATTTACAACTACAATGTTTTTTGTTTTTTTTAAGATTTTATTTCTATTATTATGTTTTATAGGCACATTCCTTGTAAAGATTCAACAGCACCAATTTGTTTGGGTAAGGTTTACCAATAAAATGATTTTGTCATAAACCAGACTGTTCATTGATAAAGTAGTGCTCTTAAATTTGTAAAGTGTAGGTATGAAACGGGAAAGTTCATCAGAACAATTGATAAAAGAGATACAACATTTGGATAGCGACTGAAGTCAAGAAACCAGGTCAGGACCAATAACATTGCAGATTCTTTGGATTTTATCAAGAATCATTAAATACATAGAAGCAGTAGACCAGATATGGACAAATGGTAGACTTATAAAGGCATAAAAATTATCTTGCACAACACAGTAAATAGATATTTCTAGCAGCAAACCTAGCAATAGATTCAATATAGTTTTTGTACTTCATGTTAGTGGAAAACATCATCGCCAAGAAGGTGCAATGAGTGACTCTCCTGGAGGTTAACAAGCCATTTCTTGTCCCAGTTAACTGACTGAAGGTCATTTTTGAGATCAATTGCTAATTTTACTTCATGAAACCTATCGGACTTCACACTAAGACAGGTGTAAATAGTTGGGACATCAGCATAGATAGAGACAAGAACTAATGACATTGGGAAGGTTGCTGATGAAAATGAGGAACACAGTAGGTCCAAGAATAGAGTCCTAGGGGATTCCCACATTAACATAAAAAGATCTAGAAGAGTGGCCATTCAAGATCACATTCATTTCACAATTTGATAAGATTCAATCAAATCAAAAATCTATCCAGATACCATAACCTTTCAACTTGTTAAGACCAGCAAGCCAAATAAAATTTTAATTTTATGAAATTAAATATTTATACATTTGGAGCAGGTGTGCCACATGGAATACTGCATTCATAGGAATCATTCAATGTTGTATATACTTTATTAATTAATATAGAATAGGATTTTAAAAAAAAAAAAAAAAAAGGGAAAAAAATTGATGGTTATTGTCCCAGAAAATAGAATCAGTGAATGGAGTTCAAATTCCAGATAAGGTTACTTGCTAAAGTGCACTATTGACCTTGGTAAAGGCATAAATCCACATCACTCAACACACTGTCCTTTTGCCTGTGATAAGTAAAACCTGCTCAGGCAGGTTAAGGATACATTTTTCACAGCTACCATGTAACCCAATACTGATATGTCATTTGGCAGTACCAAGTGAACATCTTTCTTGGATTTTCTAGATGCCATGAAGAACAAAAGTTTGGTTTCCCAATCACCTCAAAGTTATGACCTCAAACAAATGTAATCAAAGAAGACAGATTTCTCTCTTGCATCTGGGCTCATTAAACACAAATATTATCCAACAATTACCTAGAGATCAGAGATGAAGTTTTTTTGTTTGTTCTTTTTTTAAGACATGATAGCTTAAGACTAATATTCTTATTTTTGCCACAACATTTTGGATGGTCAGTTCTCCAACCATCTTCAATTGTATGTCGTATATCTGGAAGATGAGTTCAATTCAATTGAAATTAATATTTTTAAAATCAATAACCCCCCAAGATTTATTAGTTTTCTGTTTGAAATCAAAACTGTATATTTGGTTGATAGGAACTCAAAAGAATTTTTTTTTTTTTGAAGGAGGAGGAATCAGTTTTTCAAACAATGCAAGTGTAAAATGTTCTCTACCCAACCATGTACCTACTGTCAATGTATTTCATGTAACAACACTCATTATAATCCAAATTGTTTATATTTTCTCAGCATATGACTGAACATATATTAAAACAATGTATAATTTACAAAGACATTTATTCACTTTCTGAAATTCCATTCTCAATTAGTCATGTACTGCAGATTGTAAATAGGTACACACACACACACACACACACACACATATATATATAGGTATAACAACATTGTAGGTCTGCCCATGTTTACATACAAATGCAGTCACTGATAGATTGATGCAGTGTGTTAAATACACATCAAGGTGTACATGTTTTATATAAAAAATCACCAAAAACATTGCATCAAATCTTTGTGTTTGAAAATGCCACCTGAAGAATTTTCAAAAAAAAAAAAAAAAAAAAAAAATGCAATTGAATTAGATCCTGTTTGAAGAGAAGCAGGTTCAAGTTTCATCCAAGGTTATTTTCAATTCCCATAATACTGATGTTCCTATTTGTATATAAAAAGGTACACAAATGATGTTGCTGGAGTGTTTAGAAATGCAAATATCAATGCACACACACACACACACACACCACTGCATTTGCAGGTTATATACAAGGTTAGAGTTCAACTAAAACCTCTTCTCTCTCATTCACAGACAGACCGGATAGGGTAGGGGAGTTGAATGCAATTAGAAAACCTAAAAAGGGGACAAATTTTAAGTCTTTCGCACTTTAATTTTCCTTTTGCCAGAACCAGTATCAGGTAACAAAGATTCTGCAATGGACTGGTTGCTACTGTCTGAGGCAGGCTGTGAAAACACATCCCGGGTATTTAAGGGAACAATCTGAAAAAGAAAATGAAAAGCCATTTAGCTTAAATAAAAAAAGAAATCCTGACCAGCTCCAGGCCTCACCCACCATCTAAGTGAGGGGAGAGGTGGTTATTTCTTCTTACCACCACCACGATAAGAAGTCATCACTGAATGCAAGCAGGGGGCGAGGAGAAAGACAATTCTTAAAAATAGTAATAAACTATTACTAAGGAGTTTATTGTAGTCAGGACCCAAGATGGGGGAGGGTATATGGATTCAACAACCATTCAATGAAAGTAGATTACACTAAACTCCATACTTACCAGAATGTTGGTACATACTTGCTACAACCATTATTTAACAATAAGTTTCCCCCCACCCACAACAAGGTTTTTGCAATATGATAGAGTTCAAGTTCAAAATTCAAGCAGAGAATAAAAGTTCAGTTTGGTGTTCCAATCATCACAAAGTTATGATATTAAACAAATATAATAAGAAAAGACAAATTTCTCTCTTGCATTCAAGCTCATTAAACACAATATTTACTCAACAATTATCTAAAGATCGAAGATGAGGCATTTTCAAGACATGATAATTTAAGACTAATATCTTTATTTTTGTCACAACATCTTGGCTGGTCAGTTCTCCAGCTGTCTTCAACTGAATGTCAGTCGGTTATGTGCCATGCATGATACACGCTTAAGTGATCATATATCTTTTGATACATGACTGACGAGGCACATTTTTTCCCCACAGTAATTTGCCATTTCTTTCTGCAGTAGACCAGTTGCCATCCAAGGCTATAGAACCTGGTCTGTCCTATTTACCTACAGCTAGGGGGAGAAGAAGAGGATTCATACTTTTCCCAAGGGTATTAGCACATTAGTGAATGTAATGGATTCGACTGGAATCCATTACAACTGAATGTCACATATCTCAAAGATAAGTTTAAGTAGAGTTCAATTTCAAGATTCAAGCAGAGGAAAAAAGAAAAGATAAAATTTGTCTATTACAAAACCTCAAAAGGCAAGATAGAGGTTTTTTTTTTTTAGCTGTATATAAAATTTTGAATGAAGAAACTACTTTCTAAAAAGACAAATACAGATTTTTCTTTATTATAAAATAAAAGAATCACTTTTTGTTTAATTTTATAAATTACAAGATATGCCATGGCATTTAAATTCATTAGGAGTATTTAAAAAAAAAAAAGAAAAAAAACAAAAGGATTCCATGTGTTGACTCATCAAAATTACAAAAATGTTAAAATGAAAATGGCTATTTATTACTTTATTTTCTTGCCAACAAACATTTTTTGGGGGTTTTTATCTTGGAATTTTGTTATTTAAGAAAAACTAGGGCAGAACAAAGTCCAATGAAATTTGACACAAACCTCTCCAAACAGACCCCCTAACATGCAATTCCCAAGGTAAACACAGAAGCAGTAGCAGAGTGTGTATGTGGGTGGAAGGAGAGCAGACACTACAGTGGTATTTGAAGAAAAAAAAAAAAAAAGGCCCAGAGCCAGTAAAGTTGTCTGGGGAGAAAGTCTGTTACAGTTACTGCAGTAAAGAAAAGGAACCAACAGAACATGTTAATAAAAATAGAGGGTAAGGGAAGGAAAAAAAAAAAAAAAAATATTAATCAGTGCTAAAATTGTCAGTTATTATAACTAAAAGATTAAAAAAAAAAAATTAAAACTAGTTTAGATAATTAGAAACAAAATAATCTCTATGGAATATTTATAGAAAATTTTAAATATTTTGTGAAAAATATTCTTTGAAGGTTGAGAAAATCAATTTCCAAACCAATTAAGGTTAACTTTATTAATATTTGAACATATAATCACATCCCTATCGGATTATATAATCTGAAAATGTAAAATTGTATCAAAATTTAATTTTTGTGCTGGAGTTGTTACTTGTGGTCAATATCAAACAGTTTTCTATGTTGTGATTTTAGAATTTATTTCAAATTGCATCATCATCTTTGTTGTTTTAATTCCATTTTTGACTGGTGTGCTTTCTCGTCTTCCAAGAGTAGATATTATTGTTATTATTCCTTGAATTGTTAAAAAATTTGAATTATTAAGTATCCCCATCCTTGGTGTTTTGATCACTCCTTACACAGCTTATGATCCTCCCTTTCTTCATCTCATGACAAAATAATGCTTACTTACATAAAAATTAGCATTTAAAAAAAAAAAAAACAACAACAAAAAAAAAAAAAACAGTTTATCTGATTCCAAGCCCACTCAGATTTACTCAACCATTTTTCAAGCCAAACTTTTAACACACTTTGGTCTGTGAATTTTTCAAATGAAGAAAGTAATAAGATTTAAATATATATGTAGGTATATATCTATACCAAACAAGACTTATCAAGTATAAGAAATACTTGAGAGTAAAGAATATTGCAATCAAAATATGATTATTAAAAAATAAATTGGCAGGGAGAGGGGGTAAAGGCATGTCAAACAAATGAATATTTTAAAATAAGAGGAATAAATATTCACCACATGAAATCTGATACTGCAGGGTGATGAAAATTCAAAATCAGAAGCTGGGGGAAAAGTGCTTCTGGGTTGGGAAAAGAACTTTCGACATCCCATCAGATATATATATATATGGGTGGGGGGAGGTTCTACTGTCTTTACTGCAGATATCATGGAATTTTGATGTATTATGCCTAATCATTTTAATTAAACATAAGAAATTTAAATATTCAAGACCACAGTGGATAAAAGCATTGGTTTGTGAATTTGGTGACATAGTGGTTGAGAGTTCAATCCCTGGGCTGGGCAGAGTGTACTTGGACTCGGTGTAAACAGGTGAACCATAACTGAGCAGTATTAAATAAAAATAAGAACTAAACAAGATTATCCCCCAAGACATGAGCAGTGGAACAAGAACGGTCTTAATACCTCCAACCCCAACCCCACAGATTAAAATAAAGGACTCAGTTTGGAATTCCCTGCAGATTATCCAGAGATCAATAGACACCATAGAAAGGCAAGAGGGCACAATGGCCAAAATGTTATGATAACAACAACAAAGATGAGGACAATCGTCCAAATATAAATAATGTAAATAAACAAAGGAAATTTTTCATAATTAGTCCAACAAATGTCTAGTCTTATTCATATGTAATTAATCAGTTTAGAAATTGTGTGTGTGTGGAAATGTTTGATAGTCTTATACAGCCAAGACATGAAAAGTCTTAAAATACAGTGCCCCCCCCCACTTGAACAATTGCAACAGAGTTGTTGAAACAAATAGACACTCACTCCTTTATCTGCTAGAATATTTTGAGTGTTCACACTTCAAATCACTTTTTTTTTTTATCTCTCTTGGTAATATAAATGGGATTTATTCATCATCAAGTAAACCACATACCAAATTAGGAATTTTCTTCTTCTATGTCAACACTATTCAAGTCAATGAAGTTTAAGCAGGAAAATATATTTATGATGATTTATCTGAAATAAGACTAATTTCATTCAGCCTGTAAACTTGACAAATGGTTGTCATTATTTCTCTTAAGGCAATCATTAATAGGATAGGCCAAATCAGGAGATGAATTTAAGTTATTATTCTACAGCAGTGAAAATTTGTCTGGAGAATATAAAAGTGATCCCGTGAAACATACTTAGAAGTTGATTTTTCTTAAGAAAAAAATAATGGAAATGTGAAAATTATTTTCTCTCTCTCATATGTATTATGAAAACTAAAATTAAAAACAGGCAGCTTTTCTTTTTTTTTCATCAAAAGTTTTATTTGTTATTTTTCTTTAAATTATTCCTCATCTTGAAAATGATAAGTAAAAGCAACATCAATAATACTTTACATTTTTTAAAGACTTTTTTCTCCTTTGTCATCCTCCAGCCAATATATATTGGTTGGTAGATATGTTCTTTAGTTTAGAAATTTCAAAAATTCAGAAGAGACTTGAACTCATCCTTTATCTCTAGAGCTTGTGACCACACACTGACATAAGCAAACAAAAAAAAAAGAAAAAAAAAAGGAAAAGGGCAATTTTCATCTCGCAATACTGATTTATCTAAAATTAAAAACATTCAAGTCTCTAATGCTAAGTGTGAGAGTGTTTTTAACCAAATAGACATTTTGATTGCAAAGATTTTGATACTCAATATTTGCGTGCAGTTGAAGAACTGAAAATTGATGTTACTTAATCACCCATGCAGTATTTCATTGTTCAATAATGTTTACAATAACAAATCAATTAGTTGCCTAATCAAACAATTTTCAAAGCAAACAGGTGTAATGAAACCATTTTTTTCTTATTACCAATGAAATTTTACATTTACCAACCCCCAATAGATTTTTTTTTAATACATGCTTCATATCACAAATGTATATTTTTTTTAAAAAAAAATAGAATTAATCAGCTCTTCGAGGTCAGAGAATAAACATAGAAAAAAAATCCCAAAATAAAAAATGTATTAAAAAAATAAATAAAAATGCAATAATATTAAATCAAAGAAAAAAGAAACAGCCTTTGCCTAATGCTATACAAATGTATAAGGATTAGAAGACTTCACTGTAGAGCAATGGTTAACAAGCGTATCTTGCAAACAACAATTATGAAATTATAAAATCTTCATTAGTAACCTTTTCCCTTACCCACCATTTATGACCTTGTGTCAAACTATACTATCAACAATGCTTGCCTTATATTCATTTCTCCATTGGTGCAGTGGTCAGTATTTGTGCCCAGGTAAAGAGATTTAAATTCTGAATTTCAAAGCAGATCCCTCCTCACTTTGAAAATTGGTGAAATATGATTTTCTGTTTATTCAAACAAAATTCAATAGCTCACCTAATATGAATAATAATGCATATTAGTTAATAAATTTTTGGAATTGGTAAAAAACATTGTGAAATACATAATGGCATTATTTAAAGTTGACTGAAGCAACATCAGCTTAATGTAAATAATTTTATTTAATCACTTGATCCTGGAATTTCCTAACTGGAGTTAGGATACTTTCACTCTTAGAAAAAAAAAGTTTTTGA